TTCTTCCTGGAGGCAAGGATTCTGAAGCTCCATCTCACATACTTTAGGCACATGACCAGGAGAGACCAGTCTTTGGAGAGGGACATCATGCTTGGAAGGGTAGAGGGATAGTGCAAGAGAGGAGGAGCCAAGATGAGATCTATTGACTCAGTGGCTGGAGAAATGGGATTAAGTCTGTCAGACATGAGGAGATTGACTCAGGATAGGACAGATTTCAGAGCTAATGCACACAGGGTCATTATGAGGTTGATTTGACAGCACATAACAACAAGGAAATAGAATATGAGTTTTTTTAAATTACTGCATTTGCTTAGAATACAAAAATCTAATTAACGAATCTAATCAATCACATCTACAAGGGGCTTTGGTGGCACAGCAGTTCAACTCCTTGGTTGCTAACAGAAATGCTGGTAGTTGGGGCCTGTCAGCTATTCCAGGGCAGAAAGCAGGGGTATGACTTATGACTTTGGAAACTTTGTGGAGGAAATTCTCCTCTGTCCCAGAGAGCTGACGTCCCAGTTGGATTTCACTTCTTGACCCACAAATGCCCATTGCAGCAGCCACCACATCAAACCACCTAGTTGAGGGTCTTTCTCTCCTTCACTGACCCTCCACCCCTGGCTGGATACATGTCAGTAGTCTGTTTTCACATCTGAATGTGTCCTGTTTTATATTTGTGTGTATCCACAGGGACAGTATTGAAAAAAGAAAACTAGGAATCACATTGCTATACTGTCTTTCCCCCTAACTTTTATGTTTATAATCAATATGATTCTACATGCTTGTTGTTAGGTGCTACTGGGTCCATTTTTAACTCATTATTCCCACTAGGGTCTCCATCATTCCCATTTTTTCCACTTCAATTTCCACAATACCTGTTAATTATCCATCCATTCTTCATTCAGTGTTTTCTGAATACTTATTCAATATGTTAGGAATGAGGTCTCTGTGTTAAGCAAAATCACCATTATCTCTATTGTCCTAGAGTTTTTCGTCTAGAGATGGAACAGATGATATGGATTGACTCAGTGACTATGGTCATGGGGGCGGGCGGGTGTGTCAGAGACGATAAGGTTGCCTCTGGATAGAGGAGGGTGCAGAGCTGTTGTACGTGGTGCCACCAAATCACAAGCCACTCAGTGGCACATAACAACAACACAACAACTAAAAAAATGGAACTATTGCCATTGGCTAATTGCCAAGTGGGTAGACATTTTCCTAATATCACCCTGCCAGTATTCCATTCTTTAAAAACACTTTCTGATGCTCTGCCGGGGAAGGAGGGGCAATCTCCTCCTGTACCAGTCAGATCTGATTTGACAGTACACGCACACAAAAATAAGAAAATTTAAAAAAAAAATAAAAACACCTTCTTTACACTTTCCCCTGTTTTAACTAGTTTAGGTGTATCTCAATGACCCAACTCACTGAGTACGTGACTTGCCAGTGTCACTATGTGGCTTACAGATCACACATCCAACATGGACTGAACTTAAGCACAGCAGAGATTGTGAGAACGGCTCCGGATCAGGCAGGATTTCAATCTGTCGCATGTAGGACCCCTCATAATTGGCATCAATTTAATGGCCAACCTGTGAAGCTGCCAGTCCAGAGTCTGGGGACAATTATGTCAGAGCCCCAGCTCTCCATGGAGATCTTCATGCAGCCCATGGCAGGGCCCAGGGCCATTGAAGACTAGCATCACTTGCTCCTTGGATGCAATTCTGAATCTCTTCCTGTTGGTATGGGGAGAACAGAGAGAAGAGAATAGTCACTGAGCACAAAACTGAGGGGAGATCAAGAGAGGAGTAAACTCAGGGATTCTGGACTTTGTCTGACCACCAGACCACAAGGATGTGAGCGCTTGAGGCAGTGGTGTGAGAGGTGACGAGGGAGGGAGACACTCTCACAGAAAGGGCAATGTGTGGGCCATAGACGGTGAGGAAAGCCGTTTTCAGTCACTACCCACTCACCCACGAGTTCCCTCATGAATAGTTGATGTCACCAAGAACGCTCCTAAGACCTTCTAAAGTCCTCATTTTAAGAGAGAATGAAAGACACTTCAGTTTCATGCAATTAATTTATTTAAAGGATAATGTATTTGAGGTTTCAACAATTGTCTTGCAATTTATAGATTAAAAGATAAAATAGTAGGGAATAAATGCTGGGGTTTGGAATCGTCGTTGGCAGTTTGTGGCCATTTCCTCTGTAGTTCTCTGAGGTAAAAGTCTTGTGGACAGTTAAGTGGAACCACAGGTCCTATAAAGGACTTGCTGGAAAACAAAACCAGAAACATCACTTAGATTTCCAAACTAGCTCTTACATCTCAAACACTAAAATGAAAAAAAAAAAACAAACCCAAACTTTTCTGTTTCTGATTTTCAGGAACTAAAATTATCAGGAGCTCTGGTGGCTTAGTGTCAAGGACCTGCACTGACAACCCAAAGGCAGGTGGTTCAAATCCACAGGACAAAGGTGGGCAATCCCCTCTCATGTGAGTTCACAGCCTCTGAAAAGCTGCTAGAGCACATGTGACTCGACAGCACATAACAACAACAGTCCAAAATTCTCTAGCATCAAGCAGGATGGCATTGAAAGAGAAAGCAGAGAAGTTCAGTCACTTATTGTGTCATTCAGCTGCATTTATTTCCCCCCCGATAAGTACTGTCAATTCCAGATCTTTCTAGACAGGGATTTCTTTAACATTTTTTCCCTCTCTCTAGATTTCAATTTTTTGAGATCATTTAGCCAATAAATAATCTACATGGATTTGTGAAGAATATATCAAGTTGTACTATTTCTGAAATGACTTTACATCACAAAGTATTTAAATCTTAAATAAAGAAAAATGTGAATTTTCTGAGTTTCTATGTGACCTTACAATTAGTAAGAATGAAAACAGTCATAGACTTTACATCACTTTTGTAACCTATAAAATACTGGATGATTAGACAATGAATTATTCACCTAAATTGTGTTTTTATGGAGAAAACATTTGAAAGCAAAAATGCCTATCACTCAAAATTATAACTCTTTTAATATATTTATTTTATACAATAGAGTGCTTAAAATGAAATATTATTATAAAGATCAAATTATGGCAGAAATTTTAATCTAAAAGAATTAGAGAAAATGCTCATTTGTAATAACTTGACTTTTGTTTTCAAGAAATCCATGCTCCATGTTTGTTTCATACCATGATTTTTGTTTGTGATTTCAGGGGGTAGTTCATCAAATGGCCCATGACGTCCAATAATATTTTGTGACATATCTTAATCATTTGGTACCATATTTTAAACCCTTTGTATTGAAGATCTTTAGACTCTTGCCAAATAATAGTTACCAAAGTTTGTGGGGAAAATTATTAAGAAAAGTTTTGTCATCATTGTTATGTGCTTGCGACTCATAGCCTGAAACATGTTCTGTCCTGTGCCAACCTATTGTCTCTGACACACCTACCCTTATTACCCCAGTCACTGAATCAACTAACTTAATTGAAGGTCTTCCTTTCTTGCACTGTCCTTCCACGCTCCCAAGCATAATGTTTCTTCCAGGGACTGGTCCCTCCTTGCAACATGCCAAAGTACATCAAGAATATTTTTACTATTACTTTTATGGAAAGAGGGAACATTCTTAGCAGATTATTGCTACAAGTAAGGGATATCTGAGAAACAATTGTTTCTCTTAATTGAAAAGTGAAAGAGTGTGTGTGTGTGTGTGTGTGTGTGTGTGACAGAGAGAGAGAGAGACAGTGAGATTTAGTCCTGGGAAGCTGATGGGAATAGTTAAGATTTTATGTCGTCTTTACTGTCTTGTTACCTTTTTGGTTTCTCATTGACTAAAGAAGTCACAAAGTGAACTGGCAAATCAGACTAATTAATCTGCCTTTTACTCTCACTTTATAGACTCACCACAACACCAAATTAAGGGATCTAAACAAAAAAAATAATCACTGCAGTATTAGAGAGAAAATCAGAGCCTGCTTGTCTTCTGCCATGTTTGAAACCGAACTTACCATTGTGTGGTTGACACGATCCAGAACCTCTTGTGGCTGCTTGAGATAGCACTGTTTGAAATTCTGCATGGCTGCAGCCTCAGCGTCACTTGATATGAATGGTTGAAGGTTAACTATGTACTCTTCCTTTGACACTTGAGAATTAATTGTCCAGTCAACTGCTTTTTTAAAAAGTTTGCAGCCAGTACCTGGGAAGAGAATTTCAGAAAACAGGCTTATAATTATGAATACGTTTTTTAGGTATACTTGTAATATTTGTCATAGTCTTACATCCCAGTAGAGACACAGATTTTAAAATATGATGAGCTTGGTCCACAGCATTCACTTCTAAGGAAGATGTTTTCTCTCCGGAGAGTAAACACAAGATCTGAGATGGCCTTTGAGATTATCACCTCCTGTCTCTCCTTTAGCCAAACCAAGGAAGTCACATGCCACGCAAACTTACTTAACAAGAACGTTTATGGAAAAGATGCTCAGACTTGGTGCAGCATCTTAAGCATTCTTTGACCTTTGGTTGTTTATTTACCATGTGATATTGTACTAAAATCTCTCAGAGTATCAGTTTAAGATGTCCAAATTTTACAGATGTCACAGCTCTGAAATGCTGTCTGTTGACTCTATTGCTTCTAACTATTGTCTGTGCACTGCAGCCTTGAGTGGGAAAATGTTATTCTTGTTTATAGTGTCATCCAATGTGGCCACCATTGTGCCTCAGGGCAAAGAACTCTGGTTCTAATTGAAATGAGTTGTATTTGACTGTTGGCTCTACCAGTTTGAATTTAGTTGACCTTGAGCATGGCGCATGTGAGCTGTCTATACTTACTCTGGGGAGTTCTGGTGGCTTTAGTAGTAAAAAGACCTGCTGCCAAACCAGAGGCAAGAGGTAAAAACCCACCAACTGTTCCATGGGAAAAGATAAACCCCCTCTCATGCAATTCATGGCCCCTAAAACTCTGCTGGAGGGTCAGTTGGTTTTTTTTTTTGAGGGTCAGTTTTGAGTCAGGTCCAACTCAATGGCTCATAAGAACAACAGCGTCCCAACTCTGGGAACAGGTGAGGTCGAACATCTGGAAAAGCTTTATAAATTTAAACAAGCGCACCAGTTATGCGATGGCCTGTTTCTGTTGGCAGGTGTAGGGAGCTATGGTGGCTTACTGCTAAGGAGTTGCATTGCCAACTCAAAGGTTCTCAGTTTGAATCCACCAGCTGCTCCCTGGAGAGGGATGGGGAATCTCTTCCTGTGTAATTTTCTGTCTGTTAAAATCCATTGGAAGGTCAGCTGTGAGTTGGTCCCAACTCCACAGTACACAACAACAACAACAACAACAACAACAACAACAGTGTCTCTTCATTGCTGGAAGTCGGTCCCCAGAGTGTATATTATCCTCCCAGTCAATCCTGAGAAAGAAGGAATTCAAAAGCAAAATAATTTTAAAAGGGTTCAGAACAACGTTAGACTATGGCTTACGTGGCCCCCACGTGGTGTTGCATCCTTGGTATGTCAGGACCATATCCCCATTCTTATGAGGTCTCCCACCTCCTACCATATAAGGAGATGTCAAAGGTGCATCTTTGAAGAAACCTATCTAAATGTAAATGTTATATGACCATAAGATCAACTCCTTCCCGACCCCTCTGAAATAACTAATCCAATCATTGTTCCCAGATACTTCTTTGTGTTCACGGGATCTGTGACCATGGCTGCTGTGTGTGTGTGTGCCATTGAGTTAGAATAGCCCCGTAGTTGACTCTCCAGTGAGTTTTCAGAGGCAGTAAATCATCCAGGAGGAGACTGGCCATCCTTGTCCCATGGAGCCAGTAGGAGATTGAGCTCTGTACCTACAGGATTGCAGTGCAACTTCTTAGCACAAGGCTCCCAGAGTTCCCTAGACCATGGTGGAACCCTCTACGTGACCATAAGGAAAGCTCCCTATCGCTCCCTTACACAGACACAGCCCAGAGGGCACTATGTCTTTGGTTTTCTGGATTAATGGTGATCTTTAAATCTATTTTATCTAAGTCATTAATAATGGGGCTGATCTGTCCTGACACTGGAGCCTCAGGAGTCTGTCCCCAGGGTCCCAGGAGACAAGTCTTTGCCCAGAGCCTGGCCTCCCTGCACAGCACCCACCTGCATAGCAGTGGAGGGGAAGAGCAGCCAGCAGGAGGACGAGGACCAGCTTCATGGTTGGAGTGGCTTGATGTTGACTGTTCCTCAGATAAGACAGGGTTCAGGGATCTGGCTGTGAGGCGAGCACCCAGAGCGCCTCTATTTATTCTCATTGCAGACATTTAGCCCCTCCCAGGGAGGAAGAAACCAGTCACAGGATCAACCTGGCAGGAGATCCGATAGTGACGGTGTAATGAGTGAGAGCTCAGGCGGCCTGTGCTGTGTTTGCAGAAAACCAAGAAGATAGAGACTTGGATCCAAGGCAGTTAGTTATAAGAGGCCAATAAGGGCTTGTGACTTTAAATACTATTGTTGAGTTTGTTGATTATATTCTTACTGTTTCTATCATCTGCTCCCTCTCTCCTCCTTCTTTCTGCTCTTTCTCCTCCTCCATCTTTAACACGTAAGCAGCATCACCCCACAGCCTCCTAACACCTGAGCTAAGTGCAATGCCTTTGACTCCCTCATCACACACAGGTCTTCTTCAGCAAGTACTGTAAGGTTGAGTGGAGGTTTTAGTGACATTCAACAGGAAATCTACCAGGAATATTTCAGTACATTCAAATCACAATTCACTGTTATTATAAATTAATACATTTTTATTGTTCTTTTCTTAGTGCGTTAGGATTTTCCTTCCATTCATTGAAAGGATCCTTATTCATTTCATCCTTATCCATTGATCATTAAAGGATCTTTAAAGATCTCACATACTTCCAGCATGTGGCTAGGAGAAGCAATTTATTATAGAGAGAGATATAATGCTTGGAATGGTGGAGGGATGGTGACAAGAGGAAAACTCTCAACCAAATCAAGGCCCCAGTGACTGCAGCAATGGACTCCAGTGTGTCAGAGATTGGGGGATGGCACAGGACAGGACAGGGTTCACACCTGTTGTTTGCTGATAAGATTGCTATGAATCATACTTGACTCGATGTCACCTGACAATCACTTAAAGGATAGCATAACCTTATAATAGTTTGAGGTTCATGGATTTTAATATTGTTTAGGGAGCTCTGGTGGCCTGGTGGTAAGAAGCTGTGCTGCAATCCCACAGGCACTTGACTCAAATCTTCCAGCTTCTCCATTGGAGAAAGCTATGCAATCTCCTCCTGTGTGATTTGCTACCTCTGAAAACCCACTGGAGAGTCAACTATCAGCCAGTTCCTTCTCTACAGCACACAACAACAATAATCATTCAAAGGATGTGTCAGTGTTGGTGAGGATGCTACAGGATAAGGCCGGGTTTAGAGCCATGGGCTACAGGGTCGTTATGAGTTGTAGTCAACTTGTTGGCACATAAAGACAACAACAACAGCCACAACAACAGCCACAACCATTTAATGGACAGGGAGCTCTGGTGGACTGGTGAACTGGTGGGAAGTAGTGGTGTTGTCAGCCCAAAGAGATATACACCTGCCACACGGGAGAAGGATGGAAATTTCCTCTTGGTATACGGCCTCTGAGAACCCACTGGAGGGCCACTTATGAATCAGTTCTGACACTTGGCACGTAACAACAATAGCAATTTAAAACACAATATAGTCATTTATTGCCTAGGAGAGGCTGTACTGAATTGTAATGAATTTCAGTTCTGCTGTTGAGGATTTGAACACAGGATTGGATAGAAGTGTCTAGAAATGCCTCTGTGCAACAGATATTGCTGTTGTTTCTGAGTTTCCTATATCCTCTTTATAAAATAAGTATTGATGATATTATGTTGTTTTGTGTAAGAGTTATGGGCTCTATGTATAAAGCCTATCAGGTTACCCAGCCTACACATAGTATTACTATTAAACCAGTATCTCAGAGGTTCGTTGATATTCTTACTTTGTGCTGTAACCTCTAGACTCAGTTATAGGCAGGTGGTTGAAAAGCTTCTGCCTTTTTGAGGCTAACCTTCTAATAAAGGAGACAGCAAATCCACCTGCAAATAAGTGAGTGGTACCGGAAAGCAGGAATTTCTACAAAGAACAAGAGAACAGCCTCAAAAGCAGACTGTTCAGTGCAACAAGGAATGAATGAGAACCCCAAATCTCTGTAAATGTTCATCAAAACTAATAAAATTTAATAATAATTTAAAAAAGCAGAGTGTTGTGATATATAGTGACTTGGGGGAGGGACTGTTTGGTAGGAAGACTGAAGAGAGCTTTTGATGAGATGCTGCTTTATCTGAGGCTGTGTGCAAGAAAACATCACAGAAGAGCTTTTATCTTTTTGCAGGGGAAATAGTAAATATGGTTTGCCTGAGGGCTGATATTACTCAACAACATCAGGAAAATCAAAGAAAGGATAGTAGGATGTAGAAAGAGAGTCATAGAATAAGAGCTTTATAGGATAAAAAGCCCATCCCAGTTGAATCTGGACAAGAAAGCAAAAATTGGCTCCTTTTTTTTAAAAGGATGAGAGCCAGGTGAAGAAGCCCTGAAATCCCTGCAGACGCATTACTTGCTGTCTAGATTACTGTGGCATCTTTGTGTTGCTCACGCAGCTATATCACTGGTTTGCCTACAACAAAACCCACTTCAGAAGTGGCTAGAAACAGGAAAGGGCACAAAAAGCAGAAAAGAAGCAAGTCACATAACCGCCCTGGCATTGAACCACATCCTGTTGGTGTGAACCAGTGAGAGCCCAAGCTGCCTGTTCTGTGTTTGCTGAAATCCAACGAGACAGACCTGGATCCAGGACAGTTACAAGATGCCAACAAAGGCATGTGATTGAGTACTAATCACATTTGGTGATTTTTCCCTTACTGTTTCTGCTATCTCTTCCATCTCCTCCTCTTCCTTCAGCCCCCCCCTTTCTTTAACATGTGAGAAGCTCTATCCCCCAAAGTCTAACCTAAGAGCTGAGCTAACTGCCTACAACAAAACTGAATGTGCGTGCTTTCTTGAAGTTCTGCGTAGTGCATATCCTTCATTTAAAAGTCAGTAAGGGTTTTCATAACATAAAGGAGTTGGTTTCCTTGCACAAGTTAACAGGGATTTTTGCCTTTTCTCCCATCACTGTGGACCTACCCTGTCAGCTCCTGGAACATAGTTTTCTCCACAATTTTCTACCCACTAATTCAAAAAGAGAAAAGAGAAAGATGGGCAATCTCCTCCCATGTGATTTGTTGTTGTTATGTGCCATCGAGTCGCTTGTGACTCATAGTAGCGACCCTGTGTACAACAGCCCTAAACCCTGCTCTATCCTGTGCCAATCTCACTGCCTCTGACACACCCATCCCGATTACCCCAGTCACTGAATCAATCCACCTCATAGAGGGTCTTCCCCTTCTGTGCCGTCCCTCCACCCTA